TTTTTTGAATGATTTCTTCATAAAAGTTATGAGCTTAGGAACATGTGCCTTCATAATGCTTTTTTAATACAGGTTAAAACAACTTTTCATTTTTTCTGGTTAAAAAAGTCTGGGATGATAATTTCGTTTATTGTGTTTCATGGTTTATCAGTTGATTTACCCAGTAAATTCCAGTAAGATATTTTTGTCTTATTGTTCAACTGCGTCTGTGCAAAAACAGTACTGTTTCTTAGCATGATAGATACAATCTCTTGTGGAAAAAGCTTACTTTTATCAAGTTGCTGCTCTATTTCATTTGCTTCCAACATAGCAGTCCATGCATTAGATGGAAATCTAAGTGTACGGGTAGCTGTGGAATAGAGCTTTCGCCTTCCTGTCCTGTCTCTAAGTTAAGGCTGGATTTGAAACCAAAATTTATCTCACAAGCATAATTATACATATCTAAAACAGACATGTTATTAAATGACAAGTTCTAGTTTTTTGGGGTTTTTTTTGTTGTTCCTTTATGAAAGCTGAACATAGATAATTCTCTTTAAATAATGTGCTGATTGTGATACAACATTTAGCAGCCAAAGCCTGGGAGAGTTTTACCTAAAAATCCTTTAATTCAACCTTATTATTAAGCATGTGTGAAGAAAGAAGGGAAGTAAACATTGAAGGATTGTGCCTCTTAAACATACACTGCATCTTCACCAAGAAAATTGCAGCTCTCCTTTACTAGCAGGTAGCATATGTCAAATCTTGTAGACAAGCCGTGTATCAAATGCTCATTCTTTCTCTCTGTCATCCGTTTTAAAATAAAACATTGTTGCAAATTGATATTTTTTATTACAGGGTTTTGGAGTTCTTTTAGGTAATTAATCTCTTGAAAACGTTAAATTCAACAATTCAGGGTTCTTCTAGCCCGTGACCTGCAGAGACGCTGATTTTAATTTATGTTGGTATGTCACGAACTTCATGTACTTTCACTTCTGAACTCTTGATAGCAGTATCTTTGTGTTAAATTTCTTTCACTGAGTTGTGAAATCTCATCAAACTGGAATTTCTTTTATGAAAGCCATCACTAAATGTTGGACTTTTACTATTATTTTTCAGTAGAATCCAAGTATGTAGAAGAAGGAAAAGAGTATAAATTTGACAGTTATCTCAAGAAATTGGAGGTGGAAAATTTAACAGAAGTTGTATTGCATAGGCCAAGAAGTATTCAGGGAGCTTTTTAAAAACACCAATGCTGATTCTTTCATAATACTTTATAATGCTGTTCCTGTCATATTTTTCTCCTTCTGAGTTCTCTGAATACTAATTCTAGTCCTCACAATGCTTACAGTACAACTTCGGTTTCATAGGGTATAAAAGCAGACCTTTTGCAGGTGTAGCATTATGTGTTATCTGAGATAGTCATTTATAATAACAAAGATGTCATATTACGTGGGCTAAAATCCAAGACTGCAAAGTCTCCTGTGATCATGCTGTATCTGTTTACCTTCCTCCCTATCGTCATCCTCTGTAATTCTTTAAGAGCCTGAAAGTAATTTTGAACACAACCTCCATACAGAGTAAGGAGTTGAAATGTAAAAGAAATTTAATTCTTTCATGCATTTTGAGAAGTTTAATGAAACTAGGAAGCTGAGGAAAGTGGCTTTATGAAAATCCCCAGTGCTGCAGTTGATGTTCTAACCTTTTATCAAGCAAAATGGCTCTATGCTGGGGATGCCTTCAGATGGCAATCATGCACGTGGCAAGGGGGTTAGAACTAGATGGCTGCTGAGATCCTTTCCAACCCAAGCCATTCTACTATTCTGTGGTGAGATGATATCTTACAACTTACCTTGGTATCCAGTTCCGCAGCACCAGGTTTCATTTGTCCTTATTCTGACACAACTGCTTTCTTCTTGCTTCTGCTTCCTCTAGTTTGCTGATTCAGTTGGCAGAAGCAGTGAGGATTTCAGCCTTCATTTTTCAGTTTCATAGCATGTGGGAAAATGTGGGAAATGGTAGAAAGAAGACCGGGACCACAACATTTTCTGCAAGAGTATCTGTTAATGAAATCAGAAAATTGAAATTATGGTTCACAGAAGTATTCTCAAACTCAATTTGTTCCATAGAGAATGAAGAGAAGTGAATGGTAATACCTTAATGACTGATTCGGTGACTTTATTCGAGGCTGATGGGCACTGTGGCAGTCACTGGAAGAGGAGCTCTCAGGTGATGTCAGTGGAGTTCCATATTTATACTGTAATGTCTCAGGATAATGCCAGTGCATAACAGAATGGTGTTTGACATTTAAAAGAAGATGCAGACAGGAAAACTTGGAAGTGTTAATAAATGTGTGTTTGGTAACATTCTTTTTCTGTTCTGGTTGTTGCTAGTAATGCCATATTGAGCCCATAGAAAATGAGCCTTTAAAATTCTCTGCAAGTACATTTTGGTATGGCTTTATAACTTGTTTCCTAGCTAAAATTAAGTTAAGCCTGAGAATTCCCTTGGTGTTTTCTGTTTTATGGAGTGTTTCATGAAGATGATAATCTCACAGAAGTGTAATCTGTGGAGTGCAAGTCCAGGGAGTGCAGTGCATGCAAGTCCAGGGATTTGTACTTGGAGTAGAGCAGTCCTTGTTCTGCTAGCCTTATAGACAAATAGCTTGTACCATCTCAGTCATGGACTGCTCTCCTTATTCTATTCCTGATGCACTGATTTGCAGTTTCCAAAGTAATAAAACAATATTCTTCTATGGTGGTTTTGGTTGGTTGGTTTGGTTCTATTTTCTCTTCACCTGCACTAAGCAAAATCAACAGCTTGGCTAGAGTGATACCTATGATGACTTTGGACTGACACTAAACTAGTGACAAAATCCAAGTTGTACATATATTACTTAGATCTTGTACTTTTTCTGCAGGCACAAGCAAACAGTAACTGCAGAAAGTTTCATTTCAGACATTTTGTATTCTGATCTTGCCAGATGATATTTGTCGGTGAACAGGTCTTCACTGTTTGTTTTCACTTTTGCATTTTATATGCTTCATTACCCCATTGTTGAAATATTTGGTACTGAAACAACTGCACCTCTGGGAAAGAGCAACTGGTAGATTTCTCATTTGCTTCAGTATTCTTGGGGTGCTTCAAGAAGGGAGCACTGCACAGGAAGAAATGTGCATGTGCTCATGAAGGCATTAGTATTAATATAGTACTATTAGTTGATTGTGGGGCACAGCACCATTTATGCGTGTCAGGCAGGCTTTCAGGCAGTGCTGACCCCTTCCATTCCTTGGGTGTTTGTTGTTAGGTTTTAAATTTATTATTATTTTTTTTTAACGCAGTTTCTTGTTTCATAGTGGTTGTTCGTAGGAGTAAAATTACCATGTCAGCCATCCAGCATTTGGCATGAGACACCAAGCTTGATAGCCCTGAACTTTTTCAAATACGTCAGTCTTGCAGTGATACTTGATACAGTTATATTTAGTCTTGATAAAATATGGTTTAGAACCCTCTTTTGGCTTCTCAGGCAACTTACATGTACCCCCCCATACAGCTGGCTGAAGTTGTGGAGGTGAGGGCTGGGATGAAGATGAATGGATGGAATTTGTGAAGATTATTCAGTGTAGGAATGAGTTGGCTCTTGTCTTACATACCTATAAAGAGTTTATATGAAATGAGTTTTGTTTTCCTTTTACTTAAAGAGATAAAAAACGGAATCTTTTGCTGCTCTTAGTAGGGGCTTCCTCACCATCCAGCAACTGTATATAGTAGGAACTGGTTAAAAGCATTTGTACACTGTGTGCAAATGTAGAGATACAGCTACTCCAGTAATAACAGCTAAACCTACCTCTTCTGGCCACATTCTCTCTTTGCAGTACGTAAAGCCCAAGAAGAGCAGCTTAGAACTGAAGGAAGCATATAGCTTTGGGGGTACTGTGGCTGTGTGGTGGTTCCCCAGTGCTGCTTTTTTTCAGAGTACTGCTCTACCAGAAAGCTTTCCTGATCGTCCTCCTACATCTAGACATAAAATGTGAGAGAAGTTACATTTAAAGCGTGTTGATCTGTTGGGGTTTTTTTTGTTGTTGTTTGTTTGTTTGTTTTTTTGCAGAAAGCCTCAGTACAAATAGAACTACAGTAAAAATGGTATCAGCAAAAGAAAGTTGTAACCCATCAGGTTAAAGCTGTGGCAGACAGTCCAGCAAAAATGCAAATCTTTCTCTTGCTGAGGTTAAAATACAAGTTTCCAAGTTGGCAAACTTTATAGTAAAGTATATCATCTCATATTCCATAGTGATATGAAAAATAACTTCTTTTCCATTGAAAAAGAATTCTGAGCTATATCTCGCTTGCAGATAGCTTTTTAAGTTGTTCATTATAGTTCAGCTCTTGCCCTCTGTTAACTTGACTCCACTTCAGTGACTTTTTGGTAATGCATTCACTTTGGTGTTGTTTCAGCACCAAAATAAATTAGAAGAGTCCATATACAAAGCCAAAATTAACCATACTAGAGGAAAAGCAAATGCACAAAACATATCAGAGCCTATGCATGAGCACATAGTGTTACCAGTTTGTACTTTCTTAATCCTTGTGCTCTGTTTTTTGTGCAGAAAAGAATTTTGTTCCACGCCCTACCTTCCTCCTACTTTCCAGCTAATATTAAAAGCAGAAACAGCTTTATAAAGAAATTATGTTGCTGAGGTCATTGCTCTTAGAAGGTGCTCAGTAGCACTTCATGAAGTATGGTAAATGAAGTTGTTTAAAATATTGTTGAATACAAATCGCATAAAATCCTCACCATTTTTTGGTTTTTTTGTTTTGTTTTGGGTTTTGGTTTGTGTTTTTGTTTTTCTTCTGCATACCATTATGTTTCTGCTCTAATTTCTCCAGATTTAAAGATTGAAGTATCTCCTTTAGCTACACACCCAGTCCTCTGCTCATTGAGAGCCCTTTAGTTCTTCTGTTCTGCTTCCATAGCATCATCTGTTCCACTGGTCTTCTAAGTGCTGGTGTTTTCTCTCACCCAGGTACTGCTATGTGGATATTTGTTAGCAATGACTGATGTGGAATCTACATATGCAGACTTTATTGCTTCAGGAAGAACAGGTAGAAGAAATGCACTACACGACATACTTGTGTCCTCTCCAGGTGGGAACTCTAGTGAACTGGCCTTAAAGCTATCAGAGTTGGATATAAATAAAGCAGGTGAGTGCTTTTTGGTATTTTAACATATGAATTAAAATTTCATAAGAAAAAAGTCCTTCAGAAACTTTTTTTTTCCTGAAACTAGGATAAGCAGATATTGCCTGCAGTAAAAACACAGATTTCATAAAAGGGAAGGATACTTGTTTGCAAATAAGAAAGAACTTTCTGCAGTGAATGCTTGCTAGTTGAAGATGAATTTTTTTATAGTAAAGTATTTATTAAGGACCCAGCTTATTAATAGTATCCTTTAAAAGGAATCTCTTCAATCTGTAGCTGGAAGGAGAGACCATATGTTTGCTTAAAAGTTTGTGGAGGTTTAGTTTTGCTTTCAGATACCAGAGGACAGAGAAATAATGATGCATTGTTTCTTTCATTTGAATCTTTGTTTCCAGATGAGTCATCTCTTCCCCTTTCTGATGGTGCTTTCTCCTTCTTTCAAGGTGATTAGCACTAATGCAGTCCTAAACCTTACTCCTGCTGCTAATGCTATCCAAAATTTTAGCTGGTTTTGCACCTTCAAGTGAGTGAAAGGAGAGTCAGTGTATACAGTGAAGGGCCTTACATTAAATAAAAACAGTAACATGGTTTATATGGTTTTTTTTGGTCACTTAGGTGGGAATTAGTGAATTGATCTTAGTAATATTCAGAAGGCCTTTTTGGGTTTCAGGAAAGGAGATTTATGCTTATTTTAGTAGCAGAAGGAAACAGATGCAGCAAAAAGCGAGCTGTCGATAAGCAGCTCTCCTCTTTTGTGAAAATATTTTTCTCAGAGCTAGGCAAGTGCTCAGAGAGACAATTTCTTCACTGGACAATCAGATCTGGCATACAAAATTGCAGTGGTTGTAGTGCTCTTTATTGACTTTCACAAACTAACTTAATCCTGAGTCACTGCTTCTGCTATTGCCACCTTTGGGCATAACTGGCTTTTAGAAGCATGCACTTCTAATTGCACAGGGCTCTTAATTTTTTTTCCATCAAAAAAGAATTATAATACATGAGCATGTGTGTAGGGGTCTATTTATTTTAAAGTGGGGATATGCCTAAAATGTTGGACAGGTATTTGAAATGCATCGTGCCAGCCTTCCTTCCTGCTTTGTTTCTTCAGTCTCAAATTTACACTGATCTTGTCTGATCCGTCTATTTAGAAAATATACATGATTCCTACCTTTCAGTTAGCTGTTGGAGTGCTTCTAAGCTAGAACTATGTTCTTTTGTGAACTATAAAAAGAGCGTGACTTTGTACTTGTAATATACGTCAGTGTGCATTTTGCACATGCAGTTAACACTGTAGCAACGAAAATGGCTTAAATAACCATTCTCCTAAATGTTAATACATAATTCAGGGGTATACAGAGTTGCTTATAAAATTTCCTTAGGTGGTAGACCTACAGAAATGGTAGCATACTTCTTTGGGCATGCAGTTTGAATTGGATACAATGAAAATATACTTTTGTTATTAGTTCACTGTGGTGCTGGACAAAAACCTCCAAACCAAAAATACTGGAATATATACTGTATTATCATTCCTATGAGTATTACAGTGTTATCATATCCTGTCTTTCCAAACTGAAGAAAAGATAAGAAAATATTTTGCATCCCCAGTTTCAGTGTAGAATATGCTGGTGCTCACAGGATGTAGATTTGCAGCATAAATAGATGTTAAGAGAAATGCAAATGTTTAGGAGTTACATCTTATTTCTTTGAAGGTTATTTATTCTAAGTAATGCCTAGTTATACAAACACATACACCAAGTTTGTGCTTTTTTTTTTTTTCTCTTACTACAAAACCATATGCATCTTGCAAAAATGCAAGTACAACTCCTTTTTACAGTATAGAGTAACAGCAAAGTAGGATGATGCAAATGAAGCAAAAAAAGAGTAAAATTATTATCAAATATATGTAAATTAAGCTATCCAAGCATACTTAGTACATTCATTTTGAAAAGCATGTAGACACACTTCTCGCAAAGAACAGGAGCAGCTTTGAACAGCAATAGATGGTGAAGCCTTCTTCCATGACGACAGATTTTCTCTCATGCCCGACTTGATACCTGAAGTGAGTGCTGGTTAATCCCCTCATTGATAAGCCAATTAATTACACATAACCAAGAGTTGACTGCATAATCATGTGTAATATGTGTAGTGACTGTATAATAGTCCTTTCAAAACTACAGTTACAGTCTTTTTTGTCCATAGTAAGTTAACAACTTTCTAATATTCTTAGCTACCAAAACATATTCAGAGCATATCTAGCATATCAAAACATATCTACCAAAACATATCTGCCAAAGAATGTACTTCAGTGCAGGAATGAGAAGGAAGCTTCCTTGTGAGAGTTGCGTCCAACTATCTACAAAAATGAAGATAGTGCAGATGTAAAAGTAATCACAGAATCACAGAATTGCAGGGGTTGGAAGGGACCTCCAGGGATCATCGTGTCCAACCCCCTGCCAAAGCAGGTTCCCTACAGCAGGTCGCACAGGTAGGCATCCAGGCAGGTTATACAGCACTGGAATGGAGGACTGACTGTAGAAGTTTGTCATTAAAAATTATTTTGGATCATGATAGAAATGTTTAAGATGTAACCACTGTGACCACTAACAGACCCTGAAGAGCCTGTAGTATTCTAAGAGGAATTTAAGTTAAAAACTGGATATTGGCAAAACTAATAGCTTTTGCTGGCTTAGCTACTGTATTATGGCTTCAAGGATCGTTTTTTATTGAATACTACCTAATTGAATCAAAACACTACGTAAAAATTGCAACTCTTTCTTTTAACAGCTTATAGCAATCATGTTGCAGAAGGAATAGCTCCAGAGTATGCTTAGACAAGTTTTGAATATTCTCAGAACCTAGGCAAAAAATTATTTCCATAAATGTGTTGGAAGGCTTTTGGTAGGGGAAGTCTGTCAGCAGAAGAACAAGTTTGTAGTACCACAAAAGTGTATTATAGATTAAGCAGATGTAGGCTCATGAGTTTTTCAGTGAGTTTATGAGAGCTCACTTCTGAGCTTTTCTTCACTGAAGAAGTAGTATATTAGAACCTTAATGCTCATTCTCAGTATTCTTGTGCACTACATTTAATGTTTAGATAAAAAAATGTCTGGAGTGAATTTTCTCAGATTTGCAAATAAGTACAAATATTTTTCTCATTAGTTTTGTCTTTTTTTAACAAAGAATCCTGTTGTTTTTTTTAATTGTCAGTATGGATAGTGGCAAAAAGGGAAAAAAAAAAGAAACAAAAATGAAATTACACTCGTCTGTTCTTACACAGTATCAGAACAAACGTTGAAAGCTTTGTAGAAAATGCTTACACAACTCAGGCAAAAGGGATTTCTGTAGAGTAGGAAGTAACAGCCTATAGATGAACTAGAATCCTTTGTGATGTGGGAAATAAACGTGAAAAATAAGGAGTGTTTTCTGAGAAGGTGGATTGCAAAGCAAATTCTTACTTCTAACTCAGTCTGTAGCAAACAGCAAACATTTTGAGGGTAATCAGCTTTCCATACAACTTTTCATCAGGTTGAATTTCATAATTATCACAATTCTGAGGCATTTTTTCTGCAGAAATACAGTCCATGCACAAAACACAGCTATCAAACTAAGCACTTTGCAGTGTTCTTCACAGTGCAAAGATTTTTTTTTTCCATTACCACTATGCTATTTCTCCTATGTAGAAAAGAGAAGGTATTTACATTGTTTATCTCCATATACAGAAATAAGGCTACAGATGTACAGTGTGGTTTAAAATGAGGTAACAATAAATATCTGCCTTGAGAATTCTGCCTTTATTTTAATGACTTTAAATAGTGGGGTGACCTACAAAATAAGGTATAGACTTAAAACTAGTTCAACTTCTTTGCATCTTAGGCTTTAGAATTGTCTTCTCTTAATTACTGCCAGTCTAAAACAAATGATTCAGAATCCTTACAAGATACAAGGTATGTCCTATGTCCTAACAGTATTTCTCTACATAATTACACCAGCATTCAGGAACTTCTTTCTTATTAGGACTTAGCTTTTAATCATCTGAACGTGTTAGGTCTTTAATCGTTAGGCAGAAGATAGGAAGCAATATAATGCTTTGCATATAGGTACTTAAAGACCATTATCAAGGCACCTCTAAGCTTTCTTTAGACAGGCTTTGAGGTGTCTGCTCACTGTGTCATTGTAAGATGCCTTCTATTCTTCAAATGGTTTTGTGGTTTGCAGTGAGACAGCTGGGCTGACAGCCTTGGGACATGGCACTGAAAATGAATGCAAAGAATGAATACAGCTTTAACAAACTACTGCATCTCTTGAAGCTGCACCTCTTTTTATTAATCTCTGTTCAGAATTGGTGTGATGAGGTTTTTCTTATCTATTGTCATAGTATCAACAGTAAATTGTCAAAAAAGCACAATTATTTTTAACTTTTGTCATTTATAACTATTTCAGGTGTGTATTTGAAATGATAGTGGCTTATGCAGCAAGGAATTTGTTGCTGATGGTCCTTTGAGACGCAGTCTTGCTGTTTTAGCAATTAAATGTGTTATATGTAATGCAAGATATGTGTTCCATTTCAGTTTCTTTTTACTTTGTTCTTGTGATTAGTGGAAGAAGAGTTAGGGTTCTACAAGCAAGACTTTTTTGGTCTAAGGTAGATCACTCATTCTTTTGTTGTATCTTACAGAAGGAGAAGGAGATGCACAACGAAATCCAAGCGAGCAAACCGGGGAGGCCCAAGGGGAGGCAGCAAAGCAAGAAAGCTGACATCTGACTTTGACCGACTGGAGCAGCTGCTGGATGTTTTCAGACTACAAGAGCATGCTGGAACAAATTTGTTTCCATGAGCAAGCTGGTGGAAAGGAAAGTGCATGTGTCTTCACTACTGGAACCTGCTAGAAACTGCTGGAACAATGCTAAAAATGAGGGTACAAGCTGTGGCAGAAGACAGAATTTTCTCTACCTCTGTCATTAGCAATGGTTGAACATGTAATGTTTTGTGGGATAGTGTCATCAGATGAATCCCTTCGTAATGACTACTTGATGGGAACACTTCTAGAAAGTAGAACAAACAGGTTAATCTTGTAGCAAATGGCCTTTGAAACATTAGAGGATCTAATTGTGTATCTTAAGCAAAGGCTTGTGTGATCCTCAGAGTTTAAAGTTCTCTGGCCAAAGTGTTCGCCCATTAAAAGAACTGTAAAGAAAGCACTGTTTTTAGAACTTGCATCTGTTTTACAGCTCTGTTACTTACAATGGTTTTTGTATTGTACAACTTAGATGCTCTACACTGCCCCTTCTCAACTGCTTATGAAGAATATTTCTGTTACTGTGAATTTTTCTACCACGCGTTTTGAAAGGGCTGGTTTTTTGCATAATGTGGTGATGTGCACATGATCGTTTTAAAACGTCAACTGCTAAATTGGTTATGCCTAAACCTAAATGACTCAGAAACACTCTAATTTGTTACTAGATGAGCCTTCAAAACGATTCATTAATGTGAATACTTTGGCGTGTTTTGTGTCCTTGGTACATTTTTGCCACTTGCCTGTAGTTAGTTGCATATCAGAGACTCAAAGTGAATCTTTGATGTTGTTCTTTCCCATTTTCTAATTTTTCTCCCCATTTCTTAATCTTTCTCCAAGCTATTTTTTTAAAATGTTAGTCCAAGTATTTTATCGTTACGGTAGTTTTAAGAATACATTTATTACCTTTTATGGGTTAAAATTCAAACAAATTCCATGGTGCTAGAGATTTGTCTGGTTCACATTGTTAAAGATGGGTCTTGTTTACACATGGGAAAATAACTGGCATAGGTAATTGCCAATTATCTATCTAGAGTGATTTTCAGATTGCGGGATAGTCCAAGTAGTGGATCATGAAGTGGATCCAACCAGGAGATTTCATTATTTCATTTAGACCTTGGCTTTGCCTCAGTTGATCAGGCCATCGAGTTTACACAGCCAGTAGCATGTTTATGATGCACTGGGCACAGCCAAACGCTAAAAGCTGCTGCAGCAGCCTTTTGGCCCAACCTGTGGAAACAGAAGTGAGAGAGCTGTAATCTAGCACCCAAAATACTGGATTTTTTGCATTTCAGCTATTCCAAAATGGCAGTCCAAAGTGAGCATTCATTGAAGTACTGGGATAGCTTTTCCATAACCTATTCTGCAGTAGCTGTGTTGATTGGTTTCCTTCCCACATCAGCCCCAGTAGACAAGGCCGTACATGAGGCCAAACAATGCAGGATAGGGCAGTTACACCTCAGTGTGATTAAGGTGAGTAAGGACAATGACTGACTAGTAAACCATGGCAATCACATAAGCACTAATCACAAAGTGGAAAGATCTTTTCTTAATGGGAGGTGATGTCACTTTCTTTATATATATTATATATATTATATATATTTTTGTGTTGTTGTTGGTTTCAAATGTTACGCACTTTTTAATGTTTGTAAACTTTTACTAATGAATGGTGTGATTGCTTCCTGAATATATTAATCATCAGTTAACAAAACATATTTGTGGCCACAGCTGTTTGTTTCTGCCGTATGTATCATGGTGTTTGTCACATGAAATCTTTTTGTGACGTGTGTGAACAAAAAAAAAACAACAAAAAAAACAACAAAAAAGAAAAAGAAAAAGAAAAAAAAACCCTAAACAAATCAAAAAAAAACCACCACCACCACTTCTGATCAGTATTATGAGCTCATTCATTAATGTTAATAAAAAAACAGCCAGCAGTATGCTTGTGGTTCATCAGTGTAATATAAACTCTCACCTTTTCTTGTTTGAAAGTTGAATGCCTTGCTGTCTTATTAGCTGTCAAATGCTTTATCTTCTTGGTAACAGAAGTTGTCCATTTGCTTTGAAAATACTGTTACCTTGAAACTAATTATTTATTAATTTGTTTATCTTGATGTTCCTGAATTGGGTATTCAATTGAGCAAAGAAACTGGTTGCCCTTTTGTCATAAATGACAAGTTAGCACCAATTTAGCACTAACTCCAGAAGGAAATAAGATTCTGGGGATTTATATAGTGTTACTTTATTGATGATCCATGAAACTCCATCGATAAATTGTCACGGGAAAACGTAATAATAGAATAAGTAATGCAGTATATTAAAGTGTTGGCTTTTTCCTTATTTTACTTCACTGCTTTTTTTTTAATTATTATTTCAGTGCATTTTCCTTCTTCCAAAGTCTTCTCTGTTATGGGACAAAATAATTTCAGCCATTCCTCTTTATTTTCTCTTTCTTCCTTCTATTTCTCACTTTCCTTTGTTTCTAAAGCAAAGATGGAGGCCTTCATGCATTCAGATACATCTTTCTTTGATGGAAAATGGCACAGAAAATTTTAGTAGAGTAAAAGGCTGTTTGTGTTCTTTATCCCCAAAAGTATAAGTGCTTACTTTTTTACTTGAACTCTGATGGCTCTCTGTACTCATTCTTGTTGTTGTTATTGCTTTTTTCCTGTGGCACCTGTAAGCATCCTGTGAACCTGTAAGTTTCATGTGAACCAGCTTAAACGTAAAGCAAATACAAACAGCAATATAAAAAGATTAATCACCCTGATAGCTATATACTTCAGCACCATGAGCTTCAAAAAGCTTTTATTGTAAGATACCAGCAAGCACAAACAATGATTTCATCAAGCTATCATTTTAACCAAAAGTTTACCATGAAAACAATTGCTTAATTGTTTTCATAACTTTTGTCATGTTGGTTTCCCCCCCCCCATGGTTTTAAAGTTTCAGGTGGAAGAAACGTAAGTTGGTATGAGTGGCAGGTCCTGACGAGTTAGATTTCATACACATAGCTGATGGAATTTTCTGGTGTCTCAAAGAAGGAAGTGACAACTGAAGTGGTTAAGCTGGAAATTCACTGCATGTATGGCTTCCTCAGCAAAACAGTGAAGATTTCCAGGTGTGCTTTATGTTTATATGCAATGTTTCAGAAACATCTGTGATGTTTTCACAAAGCAAAGACTGAGAGCTGCTGCTGAAACTGAGCACAGTAATACAAGTTGACCTTTGTCTAAGTTTGTCTTGCCTCAGCAGTAGTCTCGTGCTAAACTGCTGTGTGTCTGTGCCCTGACCTGTGTCTTTGTTCTGTTTGTTGCATTTGGATATTTTTCTATTCTTTGCTTCCCTCAAGTAAAACAATATCCTAGAAGTCAATGGACACGGAGTACTGTATTGGATTTTCTGTGTATTTAACTTAGTGTCTTGTAGTAGAGTGTTTCTCTTCATCTTCTTGATCAAAGCACAAAGTTCCTAACATAAGATAGAAGCAAAAGAGCCAAAAAGGAAATGTGAAGTCAAGAAGGCCAACAATATTAGGAGGATATATTCTCTTAAAAGTAAGGCATGTGAAGAAGCAGAAAATAGCTTCCTTCATCATAAGACAGGCAGTCAGCATGTGCTGATCTCCAGCTAAAAGGAAGAAATTACTCAACTTAGGGTGATACTTTGACATCAGAAACAACTCCAGATATTCAACAGTGTTCCAGAAGATTACATAAATCTGTAGCTCACACCACTGAGACGAATGAAAATCATCAGGTTCTAATGAAAGAGAATGAGATAATATATGGTGGCCTCTGAAAGGCAGAAACTATTAACAGCTAGGAAAATTGTAGAAATCAAGGTAGTAGCAGGAACCTTCTGACTGTTCTCTGCAGCCTCGTGGGCTGACATTTCTTTCTTGCTTTCTTGTAATGATTAACAATACTATATGGAATGCCAGAGAATGCCTAAGAACAGGGGTGTTTAATATGGATGTTTGGTGCATGTCATTTATGTTACATATTGTTAATATCTTGCAGAGAATAAATAATAATCAAATACAGTGATCTGGTCAAATAGGTTAATAGGGTACTGAATCAATTCCTAAGTATATGGAACTAGACTAAGAAGTCTAGTTAACAAGAGTCAACTCTTAAAAGCAGGGAGTAAAGCTAAGCATAAATGCTTAATAAGTGCTGCAATTAAGCAGCATCTTGGGCTTCTGAAATTAGCAGAGCACCATGCTGTACCCTCTTACGCTGACACTTTCATTATGGGTTGGATCTGCTTAGTTTTTCAGATAGAGGCAGGAAAGATGTGTCAACTCACGACGTATATATACAAATGATCACTTGGTGTTTTCAGGCATTATGCTTGTAAGCTGATGTAAAGTAAAAAGACTGATACTGGTAATGTCTAGCTTACAAGTCCTTAAGTAAATGCACTGATCCAGACTGGCATCAGAATACATACTCAATCCTATTGGCCATTAAGAAATTCTCCATGAGTGTTGTCTAACAGTTAGTAGCCTGACACAGACCTGACCAAGGCAGAAACTTGAGTGCTCCCAAAATGTCTGAGGTGCAAATGAGTACAAAAATTCCCTCTACGTTCTTTAACTAGCAGGCAGATGATGACAGTATTTTGTATCTGTTAAATAATAAAACTATTGAATGCATGGTTAAACAGGTAATGCTTAATTCTGCTTCTGTGAGAAAGAAAAAAAATATTTCATCTTGAAAAATCAATCACAGTTTGTTAGGAAAGAGGGAAAAAAAAGAAAAAAAGATAGAGGAAATTAAAAAAAAGATCAGCTGTAATTTATAGGAAATAGTGGCATATAATCTGAGAGATGGAAGTGAGATATTGGCTGGGAGGTCAGATCTTGAGCAGCTCTGCAAACCAGTGTTGGGATTAAAGCTACTTGTCATTCCATCAGCACTAGTGTGACTTGAATAATGCAGGTTTGCAGGTAAGCTGATCTGTTCTACATCTGTGAAGCTGCATTAGCATGTAAATTAAATCTCATTCTGTTGACTAAACATGGACATTATAAACACAACCAGTAATGATTTTTAAGTATAAGCAGATAAATAGTGGCTTCCAAGGCAGCAAAGGGAAAGGCAGATTTTTGCTGTGTAGCATGGTGACGGGTCTGCTTCATTACTGATACAGTACCACTCATATGTCACTTTTTTTTGTTTACTAAGAACAGCATAGATGTAATTGTGCACACACTATGATGCTGATTTCTTTGCATCAGCAGAACCATGCATTTGTCTCAGCAAAGTTCTGCTATCACTTGGAATGTCAAATGACAAGCATCAAATGAGAAGAGAGGAGATTAAGATTGGATAGAAGGAAAAAGTATTTTAGTATTTTACAGTGAGGATGGTGAGGCACTGAAACACGTTGCCCAGAGAGTGGTGGATGCCCCATCCCTGGAGACATCCAAGGTCTGGCTGGATGAGGCCCTGAGCACCTGATCTAGCTGTGAACGTCTCTGTTTACTGCGGAAGAGTTGGACTAGATAACCATTAGGTGTCCCTTGCAACTCAAAAGGTTCTATGATTCTGTGATTAACTATATCTTGAGTCATGGGATGGGCTGTATCACTTGCTTTCATTGGAATTTCGCTAAATCTACTACTTCAATAACTCACTTGCCTGTAAAGTAATTTCTACTGTCTACATTATTGTCATGTTTGTCATTTAGCTCTCTATTGATTTAAGAACAGAGAATGTGAAAGCTAACAGTTTAGAATTGTAGAATCATTGAGGTTGGAAAAGACCTCTAGATCATCTAGTCCAACTGTCACAGAATCATAGAATGGTCCAGATTGAAAAGGATCTCAACGATCATGAATCTCCAAACCCCCCACACATGCAGGGCCACCAACTTCCACATTTAATATTAGACCAGGCTGCCCAGGACCCCATCCAACCTGGCCTTGGACACCTCCAGGGATGGAGCATCCACAAGCTCTCTGGGCAGCCTGTTCCAGCACTTCACTCATAGTAAAGAACTTCCCCCTGACATCCAACCTAAATCTTCCCTCCCTCAGCTTAAAACCATTTCCCCTTGTCCTGCTGTTATCTACCCTTACAGAGTTGACTCCCCTCCTGTTTGTAGGCTCCTTTAAGTACTGATTCAGGCAGCCTGTTCCAGTGTATTACCACTCTTTTTGAAAAGGAAACCAATCTCCCCTCACGCAACTTAAGGCCATTACCTTTCATCCTATCACTTTTCCTTGGGAGAAGAGACCAACCCCTATCTCACAACCTTCATTCAGAATGTTGCAGAGAGTGATAAGATCTCCCCTGAGCCTCCCCTTCTCCAGACTGAACAGTCCCAGTTCCCTCATCCACTCCTCATAAGACGTGCTCCAGACCCCTCACCAGCTTCATTGTCCTATCTGCTGCATTAATAATTCTCTTTATCAATCAAACAGCACTAAGGCTGGGAACTACTCAAAAACTACCTGGAATTTCTATTTCTGGTGGGAATCCACTCCTGGATGAGCCATGATAAGTTTTGGTGGAAGGTGTCATTGTTACAGGCACATAGAAAAGACCTAGAATATAAATAAACTCAGGAAAGGAGGAGTTGGTGGGGAGCTGCAGGGGTTGCTGCTTTATTTGGGGAGCCATATATTCAGTGATATGTTAAGTCGTGGCTAGACCCTATTTTCAAAGTACCCTATCAAATAGATTTGAACCTCTGGCAACAGTGTGTCACCATGCATGGCTGATCATATTTTATCAACTAATTGTTTTTTACCTAACTCATGCTCAGATGAAAACAGATTTACTATTCACTCTGATGTATGCTTGAGAATGCCTAAATGGTAATAAATGTCAGCATTGCTTTAGGTAAGTGTGCTGTATAGGAAGTCTTGTAGTTATTTGTAAAGTTCTACCAGTCATCATGGATCTCTCCATATTTTATCCCTATATTTACACTGAAAATACACAAGAAATGCTTCAGTTAAATATCACAGACCAAATGGGGGGTGGGGGTGCAAGATAACAATATTGTGATATTTGGCTTTGCATAGTATGCAGTCGTCTTTTCACTTTTAACTTGGAAGTTACACATGAATGCAGATAAGACACAACATGTTTCCTGGAAAGATCTTCAATTCTACAGCCTCATCTTTGATGCTGCAGTGCAGTCGAAACGCGGACTGTGTAACATCTAATTGCAGTTATCATTTCCCTAGCAACAGAATGATATCCTCAATGCATTACACAGTAAATTTCAGAGAATAGTGCGTGCTGCAAGGGAGAAAAGATGGATGACTTACTAGGCATTTTTCATCTATAATTATTCTCATCCAGGGAAAGAATTCAGCGCACCCTCCAAACACAGCTATGACATCCTCATTTGTTCAGTAGTGAAACACCAACACTACATAATAATGAAGATTCTATAAACTTCTACCACTGTTCTGTTATTACAGAACCTCCTCCCCAGCAGAATAATCGAAGTGCTCCAGAAAATAACCAGTAAATAGCACACGGACACCTCCTGGTGGCACTGGGTAGTATTTTAAATAGCAGGATTAGAACTTAACGCTGACAGAAAGAAATCCAAACAGCCATGCTGGACCTGGGAAGGAGTTGAGAACCTTTGTGTGTTTTTTTTTTAATTATGAGAACAAAGTAATGGAAGTGCATCTTCTGCATGATTAATTTATAGGCTTGACTTTCATCCTTAATCTCCTAAAACACCCATCATTTTTCAGAGCTTGGTAAGTAAGATCTGCATCCCTGCCCCACAAAGAAAATTTCCATAAGTGCTGGAAATAAACCTGGGATTGTACAGCAGGTCCTGCAGCTGATTCCAGCTGATGATCAGAAACCAGAAGTGCAGTATTCTCCTGCCTTTATGCAGCATCTGGCTGCTAGAAGGACAGCACACAGACTTTCACTCTGGACTCACCAATCTGAAAGCACTGTCAAAATTTTGTACCCTCCTGGTGACCTTTAACATTAAAAATTAAGAATCTGAGTATATCAAATAGGCTTGAAATTGAAAGAAGTCCTGACAGCAACAATAGAGAAGTTTCTGGGAAGTAGGTGTTGGAAGCTTTGAAAAAGTCCACAGTCTAAAATACTTGTCTTCCTAAAGGCAGTACTTGCCAAACTAAAACTTGGTGATGGAAGAGTTGTCCATGCATCTCAACCACATTACATCTGCTGATAACAACACGTGATCAGCATTGCCACAACTCTGGCGAATAAATCCAGTTGCTAACTCTTCCCCTGATGTCTGAAAAAGGAATTGTGCTGCAGTGGCCCACATGGTAGGTAATGTTAGCATCAGAAATTTCATTCTGACAAATTTCTCATTGCATTTTCTATCATATGTTCCTTCTTCAAAATCAAGTGTTTG